CTCAACGTTCTGTGTCCATTGGGGGTGGGCAGGCTCAGTGGTGGGCTCTTCACATCTGGGGGCACTTGGGCTCTTGTGTGATGTGAGGGGTCATGAGGTCACCTTCTCCCTTATTGAGAAGTATCCATTCCCAGGAACCCAAGGGATGTAATGTGAACAGTCCCTCCATCAGGGTGAGGCTGATGGGGCACCAACACCAGTGGGGGTAGAGGGGCTTGAGGGGTCTCCAGGCTCTGGGGCCAAGGCAGATTGAACATCTTGGTGAAGAAGATGCTTTTTGCCCATGAGCAAGGTAAGGGCTGGCCAACTGGAACCTGCTCTCTGACCCCAGGCGCCCACTCAGCTAGCTCCCAAGCTCACCCCAAAGTCCTGACCCCAATCCCTGGCCCAGTCAAGAACCCCCACCCCCACCTCTCAATGCCACTTCCAGGCTGAACCCCTAACCTCCATGCTCCACTCCTCTCACTCTCAGACCACAAGTGGGGATTTCTTGGCTGAGCAGTTCCATTGGGAGCTCTGGTTCTGGGCCTTGCTGCCCATAAGGAGAGGCCTGGACAAGCTCTTGTGCTACTAACTCAGAGCCTGTGGTCTCAGTGTAACCTGCAGCCATGTCTCTGGAGGCAGGAAGGAGCTCTGAGGGAGTTGGAAGGGGGGTTGGAAGGAGGTAGGGACAGTCTCCCTGCATGTTCTTCTCCCAGGTGGCCCTGGGGGAAGGGCTTAGGGCTGCTCTCCCCTGAGCTCCCCTATGTCTCTCACCCCACAGCCCAGCACCTCGGGGAAAATGGGGCCTGCCGGTATCTCTTCCTATCTGTCTGGGCCTTGAACTGACTCTGGACCTGCAAAACCAGCCTGGGGGGCTGGTTGGGACACAGTTTCTCAGGGGACAGCCTTGTGGTGAGCCCCGGACCCTGGCCTCACAGCTTCCCTCTGCTCTCCCGGTTGACAGTGGGGGCCACTTTAACCCTGCGGTGTCCCTGGCGGCCATGCTGAGCGGAGGCCTCACCCTGATGATGCTCCTTCCCTACTGGATCTGCCAGCTGCTCGGGGGGCTGCTTGGGGCTGCCCTGGCCAAGGTGGGTGACCCCCAGGGGCTGGGCTGTGATGGGGCTGCTGGAGGTGGGAGGGTGGGGGGTGGTGGAGAAATGCCCAACTCCTGGCTTGTTTCCAGTGGTAGAGTAGGTGGACCTTTTCCCCCTGGAAAGGGGCACACTTCATGAGCGTGGTTCTCTCCATATTCTGTTCTGTTCCCCTCTGGACACAGCCATTCCCTGAAGACCAGGAAGCCAATTCAGGACTTGGCTTTTCTCTTCCTGAGCTCATCACTGGTTTTGGAGTCAATTAGGGTAGTTCTAATGTTTTTGTTTTCTCTCGATCACTACCTCACTAGTCCACTTGTTCATTCCTTCTACAAACATCTCACTGAGCACTGATCGAGGGTGCAGGACAAATATGATTATTGGCCTTGAGAAACTCCTGGATTAACTTCTCTGTGTTCTCCAGTTTGTTTGCTTTTAAACTAAGTTACCTTTGATGGGAATGGGTATGACTGGAATTCAGTTCATGGTTGGAATCCTCCCATCCCATCAGGAAGGCTAGCTCTTCCCCTCAGCTACAGGAGTTGTATAAATTACACACAAATCCATGGACCGACACCCTCCCTCCTTCCTTCCTCTTCTTCCCCTTCTCTCTCTTTTTCTTTCCTTCCCTCCTTAAGCCTCAGTCCAGACAAGGACCCTTCAGGACTCAGGCCTTGCCTGCCATGTGTGGGGACGGGAGACGGGTCAGCCTGGCTGAGAATGGCTCTGAAGCTCTCAGCTCTGACCTACTGCGGACTTTAGTCCAAAGTCTCATTCTGAGTTTTCCCCTCCTGGTCTCTCCATGCCACCATGTGAGACCTGCAGCCTGTTTCCTGTCTGTAGAGGGCAGCCTGTACCTTCCTGCTCTAATTCTGTATGGAAAGTGGTGCCCAGACTTGCCCGCAAGCTCAGCCACATAGAACTTGTCAGATGTAATTCTGATGAGTGCGCAGCAGCTGCTGTCCACTAGGTACACCCTCCCTGCTGGGCACTTTCCATGTATTCTCTTATTTAATCTCCCAGTAATTTCACAAGAATCCACAGCGAGTCCTTAGAGAGCACTCACCAGGTGCCAGGCACCCCAAGACCCTTACCTGTGACCTATGAGCTGTCATTATCACCCCTCGTTTTATAGATGGGGAAATGGAGGCACAGAGAATTTGTGAGCTTGTTTAAGTTCAGACAAGCTGGCAAGCAGCAGAGCCCAAGTGTGAGTCGAGAGTCCAGGAGCTGGTGCTCCCCACTGTCTTCCCTCTCCCAGTTCTGTGACCACCCCAGGCCCATTTCCTGTGGAGCTAATGGACCCTCAGCTGCAGAGATCCCCTTGCACAGGTCCCTCCCCAAGTCCTATGGGGACCTTGCACTGTGTTCACCTGATCATGTGTGTTTGTCAGGAGGTTGGTAGAGGAAGATGTGTTTATATTATTTTTCTTAAAGAAGGTCCTGTAAGTTTCTTTTCTTTTCTTTTTTTTTTTTTTTTGAGATGGAGCCTCAAGCTATCCCCCTGGGTAGAGTGCCATGGCATCACGCTCACAGCAACCTCCAACTCCTGGGCTCAAGCGAGTCTCCTGCCTCAGCCTCCCAAGTAGCTGGGACCACAGGTGCCCGCCACAACGCCTGGCCATTTTTTGGTTGCAGCCATCATTGTTGCTTGGCAGGCCCGGGCTGGGGATTCGAACCCACCACCTTAGGTGTACGTGGCTGGCGCCCTAGCCGCTTGAGCCACAGGCGCCGAGCCGGTCCTGTAAGTTTCATAAGCTCAGACCCATATCCCCTGGAGCCACTACTGGACCCCCACTTTTCAAATGAGTAAAGTGAGGCTTAGGAAGGCCTTACAGCTCACAGATGTGGACCCAGACCTGTCCACCCACACATTGATGTAATCCTTCTCTGGCTCTTAAGCTGGAACCCTCCCCTCAGCTCCCAGTGTCTCTATGCCCTGTGAAGTTTAGAAGCTTCTTTCTGCAGGCGGTGAGTCCTGAAGAGCGGTTCTGGAATGCAACTGGGGCAGCCTTTGTGACAGTCCAGGAGCAGAGGCAGGTGGCAGGGGCATTGGGTGCAGAGATCATTCTGACAACACTGCTGGTCCTGGCTGTGTGCATGGGTGCTATCAATGAGAAGACCAAGAGCCCTCTGGCCCCATTCTCCATTGGCTTCTCCGTCACTGTGGACATCCTGGCTGGGTGAGTGTTCCTTGACAATGAGCTGTCCTGGCCCTGCAGGAAGTCAGGCTTGAAGGTCACAGATTCGGTTGCAAACAGGGGCCAGGCTCGTGCTGCAGATGGGGGCAGTAAGTTGGCACTGGGCAGATAACAGGGAGCGGTGGGGACTGGTGTCTAAGAGGTTCTGTCAATTCAGCACTACTCAGCTTCATGACAAAATGTCTGGCATGACCTTTCCTTTAATTTCATTCAAGGAAAGTCAGAAATCTTGATTTTTATGTGACATTTTCCAGTTTTGGGTAGTGAATATAAAATATTTCTCAGATGTGTTCATTCAGTGGGTAGACAGGCTGATTTTAGCCTTAGGCTTACAAACAGCATCCACACCCACCATCTTCTTTATTTTGAGCCTCTCAGCAGTCTTGGGGAGGAGTAAGGAAACAAAATTAGGTGAGGGATTATTTCTCCCATTTTAGAGATGAGGAAACTGAGGCTTAGAGAGGATAGAAGGAACTTATTTAAGGAGAATGGGCAGTAGCAAATTAAGTCACAGGTCTGGGACAAGGGGATGAGGCAGCCCCTTCCCAATATCCAACTCCTTCCTTTATTTTGGACACAGACCCAAGTCTGGCCTTTCTCCTGGGTCAGCTCTGTCATCTTTGGGAGGCGGAGCCAGGCTGGGCTGGGGAATGTGTGTGAGGCTGCGGCCGTGCTTTGCTGCCCCCTAGTGGCCTGTGCTTCACGTACAAGCCTTCTGACTGGTTGCTGGGAACAGGGTGGGATGAGGTCTGCGGGACCTCAGCTTGAGTGAACGGGGTGAGGATCCAGACTCAGAACTAGACAACTGCACCCGGGACATGGGGTACAGTCCCACCAGATTCAGTGCCCCAAGCTCGTGGTACAACAAGAGTCTCGCTGAGCGGGGTAGATTATAGCTGTTGTCGTACGTTAATTTCATGCAAGGGTGGGATCCATATGCATTTTCTCATTCACTCCTGACACCAACCTATGGGACAGGCACTTTCACCTTGGTCAGAACACAAGAGGTTAAATGAAGGTCCCACAGCTGGAACTAGCTGGGCTGGGTTTTGAATCTAGGTCAGCTCGACTCCAAAGTGGTGACAGCTGCCTGTCCTTGGAGTCTTTGGAGAGGACGGAGACCCAGCCTTTCTCCCTGCCATCAGGGAACAGGCATTCTTTCCTGGTCCTTCTTCTCTCAGTGCATGTGGGGCATGCCAGACTCTGCACCAAGGGGGACATAGGCCTTTTGCTTCCCAGTGTTAAGGATCACCCAGGAGCCTGTGATATGGAAGTTTAGAGAGGGTGTCTGGGGTCTGTGAGCCCCAGGCCTAGTTAGGGATATGGTGTTGTGGGCAGGTGGGGCCTGGCTGGGGTCCTGGTGACCAGTGTGCTGGCTGTTTGCAGGGGTGCTGTGTCTGGAGCCTGCATGAACCCAGCCCGTGCCTTTGGACCTGCTGTGATCGCCAACTACTGGCGCTTCCACTGGATCTACTGGCTGGGCCCACTCCTGGCTGGCCTGCTTGTGGGACTACTCATAAGGTAGGAGTGTGACTGGCCTATCTGGTGGGCAACTGGGGACTGCTCCACAGTGTCCAGGGATGGAGGGGCAGGCTCTAATCAGGGTTTGAAGAAGGAAAGAGGAAACTTCTTGAGAGGAAAAGAACGAACATGGCTCTATCTAAGAGCTTTGGCTGCGAGTGACAGAAACCCAAGTCACAATAGCTTATGAAATAAAGGGGAATTCATTGGCTCACATAACCCAAAAGGTCAGAGGTAGCAGTGGCTTCAGGCGGTCTCACATGTCTTCAGGACTTGGTCTTTCTCAGTGGCTCTACTTCCCTCCCTGTGGGCATCCTGCTGAGACGGGCTCTCAAGGGAAGGGAAAGGAGCTCGCCAGCCTCTCGAGGCTTCTATCCCAGCAGCTTGATGCTCCAGGGGAAACAGACCAACAGCTTTGATAGAAACCTTGGGTCAGGTGTTTACTGGCTTGGACTGGCCCAGCGTGGGTCACAAGCCCACCTGAGTCTATCACTGCTGTTGTGGGGCGCTACTGCTGGCTGTATCTGGAACACGAGCCAAACCATGGAGCAGGGTCAGGCCAGTCATACCCACAACTCTGACGTAGAACAGTGGGCAGGGGAGGACTGATCCCCAGAGGGGTGTGGTACAACTCCAGGGGCCCCATCCGCACCATGTAAATGTTGCCCCCAGAGCACATGTCAGGAAACAACATTCATATAAAACACAGTGTGGACAGCGTTCCCAGGGCTGTGCAGGGGATAATCAGGTGACGTTACCAGAGGAGAAGTGGCTTTCCGTTAGGAAGCACCAGAGACCCCTCTGTCCCGTCTGACCCTTCTCCTCGGGCTCTCCTCTTACAGTCGTCCCTCCTGCTCCAGGGAGGGCAGCGATCCCTGTCTGGACTTAGCACTTAGGAGCTGGGCTTACCCTGCACTGTCTGGGGAGGACAGGCACCGGGCAGGGCCGATCCAGACAGCCTGCACCACTGCCCAGCCCAGCCCTCGGGACCCAGCGGGCGGCTCTGTGAAAAGCATCACCGATCTCTCTCTGCTTCTTTCAGAATGGCAGCAGTGAGCACCATCAGGAAAGGGCTGGAAACCAAACAAGAAATAGTGTCTCCTTCTCCCCAGGCTGGGAAGGGTCAGGAAGTCATCTCTCTGGAGAATTCCGGACCAGGAGACAAATGGTGAAGGGCTGGGTCTCTCCTCCAGGGCTCAGAGACCTCACCGGGCCGTCTCTTTCATAGGTTCTTCATTGGAGATGAGAAAACTCGTCTCATCCTCAAGGGACGGTGAAGCAGAGCTGGTGGGATCCCTGCTGCTACTGGTGCCCTCAGCTGAGCCACCCCATGCTTAGGACAGGACAGCTTCTGCACTTCCTGCCAGGACTGCCTTGGGCCTGGCTTCTCAGAAAGATAGATGGCTGCTCAGTCCTGAGGAGGCTGTAGGTTCCTCGAGTTCCTTTGTGCCCATCAGAGACCCAGCCTGGGAGCGTGTTGCCAGCACTGCCCAGAAAGACGTGGAAGCAGCTCAACAGAAAGGTTTTCTCCAGAGGAATCTCTGGAGTCAGGAGAGGAAGCTACTTCTGTGCATCAGCTCATTTCCTGCCCCCTGTGTCTTTCTCCTCATCTTTTTTCTTAATTCCTCTGTTACAGAAGGGCCTTCTGGGGCCCAGCCACTTCCCTGCTTCCTGAGCTGATAACCTTGCTTTGCAATAAACAGTGCAATGTTTCTTTCCATATGCCCACGGGCTTTCCTTTCTTTTGAGAAATGAACTTCTAGGAGACATTAAGACTCTGGGGTTGAGCCTGGGCTGTCCATAGTGGCCAAGCGTTGAGCCCAGTGCCATGGCAGGTACTCAGAGTGGACACTCCTGAGCTTGTGTCCACACGCCCAGGCCTGTCCTGGAGCTCAAAGCCTGTTACATGCTGGGCTTGCCTCACACTCTGGACTCCAATGCGGACTCTATTCAGAGTCAATTCTAGATCATAGACGTCTGGGCCTGCTGAAAGCCCAGTGTAGAGTCCAGGGTCTTGATGAGAGCTCAGTATTGTCTGCAACACACGTCAGCCCATTTCTGTACTCCAGCTGGGGATGAGGGTGGGGCGGGGCAGAGGGGCAAGAATTTCCTGAACATGGAATCCTGAGGACTGGCACAGTAGAGGCCTGCCGAGACAGTGGCCTTCAGAAGGAATATATGAGTATGCCGAGTGAGAACAGGTAAAAACATACCTTCTGAACACCACAACTAGGCTCGGTGCCTGTGGCTCAAGCAGCTAAGGCACCAGCCACATACACCTGAGCTGGCGGGTTCGAATCCAGCCTGGGCCCGCCAAACAACAATGATGGCTGCAACAACAATGATGGCTGCAACCAAAAAATAGCCCGGCGTTGTGGCGGGCGCCTGTGGTCCCAGCTACTTGGGAGGCAGAGGCAGAAGAATCGCTTGAGCCCCGGAGTTGGAGGTTGCTGTGAGTTGTGATGCCACAGCACTCTACCCAGGGCGACAGCTTGAGGCTCTGTCTCAAAAAAAAAAAAAGAAAAGGGCTTGTGAATGTCACACCTAGAGTGTGGATCTTCTCTGGAAGACTCTATAGGTCATTTGTGAAAGATGATCGTCATAACACCATAAGGAAGTGTCAGGGAAAAATCATTCTCAACAACAAAACACTCACCCGCTTCTGTAAGATGAGCAAAATGCTCACTTGAATGAAAATGAAGAAAAGGCTCACTGAGAAAACCACCAATACGGTAGAAACATCCTTAAACAACAGAAAAAGGGAGTAAATAACGTGATAGAATCAGGAGGGAGCAACTTGGGACACTCGCCCTGAGTAAAAACTGTCCGAAGTCTCTATCTCCTTTGGTGAAATAATGAAACAAGCTTGGGACAAACGTAGTAAATGACAGGGCAGTTCCATGCACAGACCCACGAAGACACACACAGAGGCACATGCACGGTGACACTGGCGGGTGCTGCTCTGTGGGGACACTGTGCTGAGCCCTTCCCGTGCGCTCAGCCTCTCCTCCCACAGCAGGGAGTGGAGTGGGCTGAACAGCGTCCTCCCAAAACTCACATCCATCTTGAACCTCAGGATGTGACCTTATTTGGAAGTCACAAATAAGACAACCTTCTGCATCAGGGTGGCCTTCCTGTAACACACAGAAAGGGCCACACAGAGGCATGGGGGTGGGGGTGGGGGGAGAAGGCCACGTGAAGGTGGGGCAGACAGTGCAGTTAGAGCTGGGGGAGCAGCAAGGAAGGATTCTCTAGAGCAGTGGTTCTCAACCTTCCTAATGCCATGGCCCCTTTAATATCGTAACCCACAGGTTGAGAACCTGTGCTCTAGAGCCTTGGGGGGAGCACAGCCCTGCTGACACCTTGATTTGGGGTTTCTGGTTTCCAGAACTATGAGAGAATATACTTGTACCTTTTTAAGCCCTCCAAGTTTGTGGTAGTTTGTTCCAGCAGCCCAAGGAAACAAATACAAGGCAGCTACTCTCATTCTTCTCAGTTCCCAGAGCAGCTGGGAAGGTATGGTGTTATCCAGACTCATACAAGTCGTATGCTGGTAGAACCGATATTTAAGACCAGCTAGGTTTGATTGCAGGGTTCATGATCTTCATCATCACACTCTCCGTTTCTGAATAGGGGACAATATTATGTCTTCAACCCTGCCTCCTACTTACGTGTTAGAGCCCCACTGAAGAGGGGACAGAAGGACATGATTCTAACTCTTCTTAGTTGTAACGTGCAATTGGATTTCAAGTCCTGAGCTTCATATTTCAATTCCTAGACAATACCCTTAGCATGACTGATACCAATTAATCTTTATAACTGTGCATTCTAGAGCATGTCAGGATTGCTTCCCAGGTTAGAGGGCTAAGGTCTGGGGTAGGAGAGAGATTGGCTTTCCCTTGCCTGCCCTTTTGAATTTTTTACTTTTGCACATGGTGTGTGGTAGTATGTTGTCAATTTAAAAGCTAGGTTAAAACAAACCCATCATTAATCAATATATGTGTATGTCTCTATATACACATATGTGCAAAAATGCCAGAAAACATTAGTGCACACAATTGTAGCATATACACGATAAATTTATCATATACAAGTATCAAAAACTCATCACTTTAACAATATGTACTAAAGTGGTTCCTTGAGTTTGTATGCCAGCCCTGCCAGTCAAGAACCAATATTATTCTCTTTTGATGGCAAGTAAGGCTTATGGCACTAAAGACGAGACGGTACAATCTTCAGTCAGGGTAGAGGTGTTGTGAGCACATTCTCCAACGTTTCACTGCCTGGATTTGAATCCTAGGTTGACACTTCAGGGCTGTGAGGCTGTGGACAAGCTGCTTAACACATTGTTGATGGGTCATGAGTTAACTTATGTTTGCACTCGCGTCAGCTATTGCAATTTTTAAAACTCAGGGTGATATAGGATAGTGTAAAAGTTTTCTTGATGGTGCCACTAGAATCATAGCTGGTGACATGGGATAGCTTCTGTGTAAAACTGCTGGTCAACAATGTCTTAACTCTCTGTCCCTCCATCCCCCTACCTGTAAAATCAGACTAGTACTAGTACCTACCTTGCAGATTGTTGTGATAATTAAATGCACGCACATCTATAAACCTTACAGAACAGGGAGGGCTCAGAACAGAGAAAGCAAAATCTAAGACTTTGCTATCATTGCTTTAGCATCATTATTGAAATTATCATGATCCAAACGGTCTCATCATTTTAAACTATGGGTTAGGAGATCGTGTACGGCATGTGAGCAATTCACACACATCATGACAATACTGATTTTGCGTTTGTTAGAAAATTATTGAAGTAAGTGAAGTGTTCATTGTTTTCAGGGTGGGTGGTGGGTGGGAATTGAGCCAGTTCAGAGACAACTGCAAAGAACCTATTTTACACTAGCACATTCCCACACTTGCTCCAAAGTGACAGGGTCTTTGGCCAAAATCATTCGATCTACCATCTCTCACATTTATGCTTGTTGAGCAAAAGAACACACAAATCAAGCCAAGTGAATAGGGTGGCACACACCCCAAATGTGTAGAAATAGAGAAGAGGAACGCACCTCCCTGGGGTGGTGTTAGAAAGTAAAGACTGGTTCCCAGATTCATTCGCATAAAAATAAAAGATGGATGAGGACAGCTGCCATCACATCTACTCCTCAGGATGAAAGATGGAGTCTGAGGAAGGCTTCTAATTAAAGATAGGGTAGGAAGCAAAATCAATTAATTAAGAACCATTTATGGCTAGACTCAGTGGGTCACATCTATAATCCCAGAACTTTAGGAGGTCAAGTTTGGAGTATTTCTTGAGCTCAGGAGTTCAGGACTAGCCTTGGCAACAGAGCCAAACCCTATCTTCTAAGGAAACTTTTGAAAAATTAGCCAGGCATAGTAGTGCAGACCTATAGAATGAGGTACTTGGGAGGCTGATGTAGGGGGATTGCTTGAGCCTAGGTGTTTGAAGCTGCTGTGAGTTATGACAGCACCACTGCACTCCAACCTGGGTGACAGAGTGAGATCCTGCCTATTAGAAAAAAAAGAACCATCTACACAGAAACTTGAACCAGAAGGGAGCTGCTGAGAGTTCAGGAAACCAAGGTTCAGATCTAGATCCATCCATAATTATGTGACATTGGGCAAGCCACTCTGATCAACAATATTGATATGCAATATTGTATGCAATTAAAATATGGTATGCAAAGAAAATGCGATTTTAAAATGAAATCAATAAAACTATAATAAATAATAAAAACAGCTAGCATGTATTCAGTCCTTACCATTAAACATTTCGTGAATCCCCATAATCAAAGAGCTAGGTATTACCCTCTAAAAATAAGAACTGGAGCTCGGAAAGATCCAAGTAACAGTTAAAGCTGACTTAACATCTGGGCAGTGCTGTATATTGAGTCATTTATGTCAAGCCTATGGTGTGGGGATTTTTATTCTCAAATGAAGAAACAGGCAAAGAGAGATGACGTAACCTGTCCAGGTCACACAGCTAGAAAGGCTACATCCAGAGCATGGACTCCCAATCACTAAGCAATGGTGCCTAAGGTCACACAGCCAATAAGAAGAGCTAGGGCCAAGATTCAGATCTATACTGGATCATTGCAAAGCTTTAAAATATAACTACTGTGGCACTAAATCAGAAGAGGCAAACAGGCAGCCAGGGTACCAACCCCAGGAATTTAACTTCTCTTGAAAAACTAGTTCTGGGCTTGGCGCCTATAGCTCAGTGGCTAGGGCACCAGCCACATACACCAGGGCTGGCGGGTTCAAAGCCACCCTGGGGCCTATCAAACAACAATGACAACGACAACAAAATAATAGCTGGGCATTGTGGTAGGCGCCTTTAGTCCCAG